ATTTCTATTAAGAAAACCTACCTTTTGGTCTTAATAAAAGTTGTTCATCAGGCCTTTCCGGTTCTAATGGTAGTAAATTCATTAAAATCGGACTAGTAGTTTTTTCTAAAAAGTGAATGAAAGTTAGCCAACTTCGGATATAAATATCTTAGAAACTACTGTCTGAGTATAATGATTTTACTACCATTAGAACCAGAAAAGCCTGATAAACAACTTTTATTAAGATTAAAAAAGGGTTTATTTAATAAGAATATCTATTTCAGAGCACATTTTGATATTCAGGGGTGGCATTAGCAAAAATGGGGGGTGGAAATAGTCATTCTCTTATTTTAATATATTTAAGTTGAAAATTAGTGATTCTAAAGAAATTTATTATTAATAAAATTAATATAAAAACTCAATTTTTTTTGTGATAGTGATTATAAGTGATTTGTGACTATAACAAGGTTTTTTTATAATATTTAAGTCTGTTATATAATATTGGGTACTTATATAGAGGTGTGACTATATGGGGTGTGACTATAGAGAGGTCAGACTGTAGTAAATTAAGAATTTTTATATAAATTTTTTAACCTTGAATAACTTTTAATATACTAGTCCATGTTGAATAATTTAACTACTAAAATGTTCATCTTAATAAAACAATTCCAATGAGCCCAAAATCATTAAAATCTAATTACAGGATTATGAGATTATTAAGAATTAGTATCATAAGCCAATCAAATAAAAGATTAGTTTTTCTATATATAAAAACCAATCTTTCATTTGATTGGCTTATAATACTAATTCTTAATGATCTCATGATTCTGTTAATAATTTTGGGCTTGTTAAAATTGTCTTATTGAGATGAACATTTTGGTAGTTAAATCATCCAACATGGACTAGTATATTAAAAGTTATTTAAAGTTAAAAATTTATTTAAAAATTCTTAATTTACTATTAAAATTATATTAAATTCAAATTATCTTGAGATCTAGTAGTTGAATTTTGACTATTTTAAACTCATTAGAATCCTCTCAGTAAGATAAATATTTTAGTAATTAAATTATCTAAAACAGATTAGTATATCAAAAGTTATTGCCAATTATATAAATCAGCTAATATGATATAACTACTACTGAAGACACAAACATTATCAAGAATACCATCAAGGGTGTCACCAAAGGAATCATCACCAGAAATACCACCAAAAATACTACTAAGAATACTATCAAGGGTGCTATCAAGAGTACTACCACAAAGGGCACCACCACAAAGGGCACTAAGGTTACTATCAAGAATACCACTAAGAGCACCACTAAAAATGTTACCAAGAGCATTATCACAAAGGTACCATCAAAAGTACCACCAAGGACACTACCACAAAGAACACCAAGAGCACTACCACAAAGAGTACCAAGAGCACCAAGAGCACCACCAAAAAAAAAAATTGCCTAAAATATACAAATTAGCCATCTTAGATGAAGAAGTGAACTTGTAATATTTACTAATAGCATATAGTATATTGTGTTCTCACATCTTAAATTATGTGATTTTTGCAAACTTTCATTTGTTAACAATAATGGTATTATATTTGTTTGTGGTTATAGCTATCATACAGTTTGTTATGGTAAGAGATGCAAATACTGTGAAGAATTTTATAAAAAAGGAATCGTCAAAAATATTAATTTATTTTTGTACCAAATTGAAAAAAGAGTAAATTTACTTATATAAGAAGATCTTAATGATGATGAAACTAGCAAAGATACTGAAGAAAACTTTGAAGTAAAAAAAATGCTTGATGTTTAATCTACACTGATAATGCAAAAAGAAAATATAAAATTTTGGTGAATATTTAATTAGAGATTATAAATGCTAATAAATATTTATTTTAAAAATATAATAAAATTTTTAAATCTGTACCAAAAAGTTTTTTAAAAAAATTTGATGCTAATTTTTTTTTTTTAAAAAAATACAAATTTTACTAAACATATCCTTTTAAAACTATAGTAAAAAGCAAACTATTTGGGTCAAATATGTATTTAAGAATATAAAATATATAGAGCTCTCAATTTGCACTATACATATATTAAAGTATAGTCTGACTGTATAATTATATACATATATTAAGGGTAGAATGTTTGTAGATTATTTTTCATATGATCTATGTGGTAAATTAAAATTTTTTATAGATTGCAAAGTTTGTTTCTGATAAAACTTTTTAGAATTATAACTAATATTTACCAAATTTTTGTAGCATTTAATTTGGAATCTCTTATTTATAGTAGTAAAATTATGAACACTATATCTTTTAAAAAAATTCAACTTTGTATATTGATAAAAAACCTTAGATAACCATAAATTTTCTTAGATTGTACAAAAATAACTAATTCTGATTGGTCAAATCTATTGTTTTAACAATTTTGATTGGTCAATCACATGATTTTCTATGTAAATTTTAATTTACTATATAGATTATATGAAAAATGATCTATAGATACCCTACTTTTAATGTTTATTATAAAAATATTCATTTTATAAAAGTCATAAATAATAGAGATCATTCAAGATATTCTTTTGTACTTTAAATTAAAGATAACTAATAGACTAACTGATAAAGTTTGGCAAAAAACTAATGTTTAATTTAATGTGTTACTATATAACGTCTGTATATACTATAATATTTTCTATATTTTCTATAATATAAATTTTGTATAATATTTATGCATAAATAGAATCTTTGTTATATTTTTAAATACAGTATTAACTCTTTTCACTAATCATCAAAATACAAAATTCAAAAAAACAAAAGTATTAAAAACTACAAAAAATATACAAAAGCAGCTAAAAAACTAAACTTGGGACTATAAAGAAAGAAGAAAAGGACTACAAGAAATATTTAGTCTCTTAAGAGATTTGAGTAAAAAAAGCAAAAGAAGCAAAAAAATAAAAGAACATCAGCAAAAAATATATATGAAAATTTTCGAAAAAATTTGTGTACTGAAATTTTTCAAAAAAATTGTGTTTACTGCAAAAAATTTCAAAAAATAAAAATTTCGAAAATTTTCGAAAAATTTCGAAATATTGCAAAAAAATTTCAAAATAAATTTCGAAATAACAATTTCTAAAAGTGCGAAAAATTGCGAAATTTTTCGAAAATTTTCGAAAACAATGATACAATTATTCTATATATCAACAAATCAAATATTATAAATAATTGAAAATAAATTTATCGAAATTATTGTTTATATTTAATTTTTA